CTCTTAAAGCATGCTGGCTGGGGGATTCTGGGAGTGGAAGTTCAACCCTCTTAAAGCATGCTGGCTGGGGGATTCTGGGAGTGGAAGTCCTCCCCTCTTAAAGCATTTCCACCCATCTTCAAAAAGTCACGGTTGAGAAACCCTGTTCTAAACAACACAGGTAAAAATTGATTGACTGGTTTGAAAGAATGACAATAGCATCTAATTCACTTTTACTGAAAATCTCTTCCCCATTTTAAATAAAGAATGAGAATCCCAAACACCAATAACTCCCAACCCACAGGCCATTAAAAATCTTATTTTTCCTTGCCTCCAAATTTCCAATGAGCACCTCTTGATTAATCAAGTCACCCAGCAAAAGACTCACCTGGATGAGTTTGAGACACGTGAGCTTTTGTTCCGGTGTCTCAATTCGCACCATCAGGCGGGACAAACTGAGGACTTGATTCTTATCGGAGAGCCCTTCACCGTTCTCTAGGAGCGCTTCTAATTCTCCATCCACCTACGAAAAGCCAAAAGAGAGATTCTAGACAAGGTGCACAACCACAGAATACTTGCAGCTCAGGGCTGAGTTAGGGGGAGGAGGGGGTGTCCTTGGTGCTTTCTGGTTTTCATGCAGACATTTCATTTTCCTGCAGACGTTTCATTACCCAACTAAGTGACACAATCAGTGTTAGAAGGGAGAGGGCGGCGTTGAAGCCCACCCCTCTGAAAGCAATACTGGCCAGGGGATTCTAAGAGTCAAAATCCATCCATCTGAAAGCATCTCGCTTGGGAAATTGAAGTCCTCCCCTCTTAAAGCATGCTGACTGGGGAATTCTGGGAGTTCAACTGTACCCATCTTAAAGCATGCCAGTTAGGGGATTCTGGGTGTCGAAGTCTACCCTTCTTAAAGAATGCCGGCTGGGGAGTTGGGAGTTTGGGCTCTGTTCAAGTGACCAAGTTTGAGAACCATGGGTCTAAAGCTGCACAACATTGCTTTTTGCAGTAGTGGGCAGAGAGATGCAGATCTACACTTACACGAGGAAGTGCACGGGAGAAAGCATCACAGTGAACTAACAGGGCTACACTATTCCAATGTAACCATTAGGCTTTAGGGCTCTTGTGCAAATAGAGGGCAGCAGCACGAAATGACTCCAAAGCCATCCAACAGGACTGAGACCTTAAGTGTTACACCAAACACCCCAGTCCTCTCTTGGGCCAGAGAGGGTGACGATGCCCTTTGCAGCTTTGGGGGGATTGCGGGAGATCCAGGGGCTTCCAAAGCGATCACTCAAGCGGCCACCCTGCCCCACCCATAGCTTAAATGCCTACCGGATCTTTTTTACGCGACCGCTCCTTTTTCATTTTGCCTCCGGCGGCACGAATGCTGACCCTGTTCTCTCCGCCCAGGTAGCCCCGACAGTTGGTGGAGCCACAGAAACATTTCTGTGCTTCTTTGCTGTTGGAAACACACATCACAGCAAGTGAGGGACTGAAGGAGGCTTCATCTCATCTTTATTTCTCTCTCTATCCATCCATCCATCATGGATACAATTCTACCTATCTATATCCATCCATCCAACATGTATACGTGTCTGTCCACCTACCCACAAATCAATCTCTCCCTCCCTCCCTCCTTCCATCCACAATTGTTAAATGAATCCCTGCAGTTGTTAAGTTAGTCACACAATTGTGAAGTGAATCTGGCTTCCCCATTGACTCTGTATTTATGACAACCGTCATAAAAGCACGTGGCCATGGGGATGCTGCAACGGTCATAAACGTTCATAAAAAGTCCACGTCAGCGGTGTTCTAAATTTGAAAGGTCAATAAGCAAATAGTTATGAGTCGAGGAGTCCCCGTTCTTACTCTAAAAATTAAACCTATGTCTGTTTTTGTAGATATTAAAACAAGCCTTAGCTAACAAAAAATTAAAAGAAGTGTCTTATGAAGCAATCATTTGAAAGAAAAGTGTTCACAACAGCTTGTCATATAAATATCAAAGAACTAATGCTAATCAATCCTGAATTAAATCATTTTCAGTATCATTTAGACAACACCACGTGCGACGCAAGTTTCTTATAAGTCACCCTAGCTACATCATCTACTCAAATTTTAAGAAGGCAACTTGACCTCCCTTTCCTTCCTCCTTCTCTTATCCCTCCCTCCCTTCCACCTTCCTTCATTTCTTCCTCCCATCTCCCCTCCCTTCTTCCCTCCTTTCCTTGTCTCTCTCCTCTTTCTCTTCTTCCTTCCTTTCCTCCGTCCAGTCTCTCTTCTTCCTTCCTTCCTTCCTTCCTTCCTGCCATCCATCCAACTCCTTCTCCCTCCCCTACTTCACTTCCTTCTCCTCTCTCCTCTCCTCACTCCCTCCTCACTCTCAATTGAAAAGAGATTTGACAAGAAGATGGAAAGATCAGATCCTCCAAACTAATTAGCTGCACTGCACCAATTTCTTCTCTGCAAGAATACTGGAATAATTTCACAATGATGACCTGGAAACTACTACAGCTCTTCCTGATCCGAGAGAGAGAAAGAGAAAAACAGCAAAGGAATGTGATAAAACAAGAAAGTAACACCTACCCGTATCGCTGGAACTGGTAGTCGAAGGTTAGCTCCGAGCCAGAAGTTACTAGCTTGGTGGTGAAAAAGCCCACTCTCAACTGGCCATTCACCGTCCACTATAACAGAAGGGGGATAGGGACAAAAGAGGACAATAGGATTAAATTGCAACTCTATAACTGCAGCATCTTAATTTTTAAATGTGTTAGACATCATAGTTGCTTTGAAATAGCAAACCATGTTGATTGGTTTCAGACTGCCAAAAGATATATGTTTTTATGAATATATATACAGTTAAGGAACTTTCACATCCCAAAAAGGGGGAGCATTGGAAGTTAAAATCCAGGTTGCAAGTTGCCCCCAGGTTGGTCATCTACTTTCATTTAAAAATACTTCTCTTGAAAACATCAGTCTGTAGGTGGGGAGAAAAGCAAAGTTGTGCCCACATCACTTGTTCCACGACTCACCTTCTGTGTCTCACAATTTGGTTCGCAGCTGTGGTTCATGAAACGAGAGCAGTTCCCTTTTTGCGTGGCGTCGATGATCTGAAAAGGGAAAGGAAATCGCTACAGAGCCAATGCTCGTTTTAACGAACGGCCAGTTCAAAGTTACGATGGAGGAGACGAAGAAGATGGCTGATTTGTGGCCTTTCCTGCTGGTTTCCTTCAAGCAAAGTCAGTGGGGAAGCCAACGGGAAATCACAAGCCTCAGTCACGAGATGTCCTCGCTCGAGAACCATGCAGGTTTTGTTTAACAACGGCAACTGGAAGTCCTGGAACTCCTGCCACGAGTCATCACATTTTTATGACCAGCGTCGCTTGGTGAGGAGTATCTCCAAATTATTGTGGTTAAACAAGGGCTGCCTGTACCTCTTTAAAAAAAGGGGAGGGGGATAAAAAATGAACAAAACATACAAAAACACACACAGGTATGTGAGCTACTATGCCGGTTCCATTGTAAAAAACAACAGCAGCAGCAGCAGCAGCTGCTACTGTCCAGAAGTTCTCTATAAATGCAGGCCTCGATTTACGACCATAATAGAATTTCCAATTGCTAAGCAAGGTTGCTTTGATTTTATGACCTTTCTAATGGCCACGGCTGTTAAGCACCGCAGTGAAGTGAATCATTTAGTCCTTAAGACGCTTGTCCCGGATTTAAATCTCGGAAAAACATTTGGAATGGTCGCAAATGGCGATCACGTGACCCACAGACACTGCAAGTCATAGATAACACGCCGGGTGCCAAGTGCCATGGGGGCAACGGTCGTAAATATGAGCCAGTTGCCAAGCAATCAAATTTTGATCGCATGACGGTGTGTGAATGTGGAGGCGGTTTTTTGGAGCTGTTGTAACTTTGAACAGTTGCTAAGGTGTGGTAAAGCGAGGGGCAACCTGTACCAAATTAACTAAAGCATAAACATAAACAAGAGCCATTGTGACTTCAAACAGCCACTAAATGAATGGTCGTAAGTCAAGGTTGACTTATAGCGAGTTATCCACTATACTTTTTTTTAAGACGAACGCTCACCTCATCGTTTTTCAAGGCCATGAAATAGTAATGGATGTTCTTGCTGCGGGCATATTCTTTCACTCGAGTTTTGAATTCTTTGTGATCCAAGACTTCTCCACAGTATTCGAGGACAAAGGTGTTACTAAAGCACAACGAAAGGAAGACAAGAAGATGGAAAAAAAAGGTAAACGCATAACTAAAACACACAGCAATATTAGTATGTTTGCATGCATCTATCAGGAATGGAATAGCTTTATTGGTCAAGTGAAATTGGACACCCAAGGAATTCGTCTTTGATGCATATGATCTCAGTATACATAAAGAAAAATAAAACACGTTCATCAAGAATCACAAGATACAACACTTAGCGATAGTCATAGGATATTGAATAATCAATCAACTCATACTAGGAAACAATTAAAACAATATAAATTATAAAATATATAAATAAATATAAATATAAAATTTATAAAATATAAACTTAGACGCTGGCGCTGGCTAGGCCATATATTGAGAATGCCAGAAAATCGAATCCCAAAAATTTCCCTGCTTGCAGAGCCTGGTCCGACCTGG